ATTTGAGGGTGTTTGGAGGGGATTTGGGGCCGTTTGGGGGGGATTTGGGGCTGTTTGGGGGGGATTTGGGGCTGTTTTGGGAGGGTTTGGGGGGGATTTGGGGCTGTTTGGGGGGGATTTGGGGCCTTTTTGGGGGGATTTGGGGGGGATTTGGGGTGTTTGGGGGGATTTGGGGCTCTTTTGGGGAGGTTTTGGGGGGTTCCAGAGCGGTTTTTGGGATCGTGGGATTATCCCGGGGGGGTTTTGGGGTGATCCCGGGGAGTTTCTGGGATCCAGTCCTGGGGAGCTTTTGGGTGCAATCTCAGGGGTTTTGGGGTGGTCCCAGAGGGTTTTGGGGTGGTCCCAGAGGATTTTGGGGTGGTCCCAGAGGTTTTTTGCGATCCAATCCCGGGGGATTCCCTGCAGGAGAAGGAGTCGACCGAGGATTACAACGTCGCCTGCATCCTGACCCTGCCCCCGTACCAGCGCCGGGGCTACGGCAAACTGCTCATCGAGTTCAGTCAGTGACCCCAAACCCTGCTGGGACCCCAAATCCTGACAGGGACCCCAAATCCTGCTGGGACCCCAAATCCTGCTGGGACCCCAAATCCTGACAGGGACCCCAAATCCTGACAGGGACCCCAAACCCTGCTGGGACCCCAAACCCTGCCGGGACCCCAAATCCTGCTGGGACCCCAAACCCTGCTGGGACCCCAAATCCTGACAGGGATCCCAAACCCTGCTGGGACCCCAAACCCTGCTGGGACCCCAAACCCTGCCGGGACCCCAAATCCTGACAGGGACCCCAAATCCTGCTGGGACCCCAAATCCTGACAGGGACCCCAAATCCTGCTGGGACCCCAAATCCTGACAGGGATCCCAAATCCTGCTGGGACCCCAAATCCTGACAGGGACCCCAAACCCTGCTGGGACCCCAAACCCTGCTGGGACCCCAAACCCTGACAGGGACCCCAAAAATCCACTGGGAAGGCTTTAAATACCTGGGGGAGGTGGGAAATAACCCCAGGGGATGCCCCCAAAGCCTCAGGGACCTGTTCCCCTGTCCTCACCTGTGTCACCTGTCCCCCCGTCCCCCCTGTCCCCCTGTCCTCACCTGTCCCTCCTATCCCCATGTCCCCCCTGTCCTCACCTGTCCCTCCTGTCCCCATGTCCCCCCTGTCCCTCACCTGTCCCCCCATCCCCTGTCCCTCACCTGTCCCCGTGTCCCCCTGTCCCTCCCCTGTCCCCCTGTCCCCTGTCCTCACCTGTCCCCGTCCCCCGTCCCTCCCCTGTCCCCCTGTCCCCCTGTCCCTC